AAGAGTCATATATATTTCAAGCTGCTGTGATTTTTTGATGATATTCAACAGGATGCCATATGAGTACCATTGTCAGCTCCAGATGTGGGATATTTATTGCAGCGATTGCCAACAGTCAGCACGCTCTGACTTATTTGCTCCCATGCGACACCTGACATCTTCTCTTTGATATAAGCCTCTCAGTTCTTAAGTCCTCAGCTGTGCGGGCACTTTCACAATACAGAGAGGAGGTTTATCCATGGAGGGGGGAGCGTCTAGAATGATTTGTGGGGGATTTGATTTTCCTGCCTCTCACTATATGGCTGCATAAATAAAAACCTCCAAACTAGCTTAGCAAAGAGGCGACCTGATGATGGAGCTGTAGCATAATATCTGCAATGAATGTAGAAGATGGTGTGAAACTTTCATTTATGAGCTGGTTCTTTGAGCTCTGATGTAAATGAGCCAACTTGTATGTGTGTGGGATGTCTTTTACATTTTTTAAATGCAGAACAAAACATGCAATTTGCCTAAATGTCTCTTTTACCAAATATTTTCTTTGTAGGATTTCCAGAAATCAATGCCTCTTTGTTATCAAACCACAACAGGAAATTAAAGCCTAGTGACAATATACGTTTCTGTCACATTTCAAGTCACTTGCACCCCTTGGGTTGCCCTTTCAATTGACAACCACATAACATGTCATACATTTCAATAAATTTTTATTTTTTGATGGATGAAAACAAGTAAAAAAGGATATATATCTATATATCTATCTATATATGTATTAGGGGTGTAAATCACATCCATCATGGCGATTCGATTCAGTATCGATTTCCTGACCCAACGATTCGATTATTTTCGATACTTAAGAATACACCACGATTCGATTCGATTCGATTCGATTAATCGATTAATCGGTTAATTTTTTTTTTATTATTATTATTATTTTTTTTTTACACCTTACAGGCTAAACAAAGTTTCAAGTTTGAAATAAATCAATGAAAGCTGTAATATCGTTATGCATTTTCTTTAGAAACAACAGCAAATAACAGAAGTAGAAAAGTTGCATCAAAAAATACTGTAAAAATACTGCACAATATCAGTGTAATGAGTTCAATGCAATACCTCGGCTCCAAAGAAACTGTCCAACATATTTTTTTAGAATGTAATAAATATACTCAGGAAAGAGAGATGTTGTGTAGAGAGTTAGACAGGAATAAAAGTAAACTAGATATAAGGGAATTGTTTCAAAGGTCATCTGGGGATGTAGTTTTTGGTAGTATTTTTAATTTTCTAAGTAGAACGGGTATTTTAGGGAGAATATAATAGTTTGTCTGGTCCATACTCCATTCTGGAAGGTGGCGGTAATGCACCTATAAGTTGTTTGCCAACCGCCATTAAAAAAAAGAAGAAGAAGAAGGCTCCAGAGTGTTGACGTCACCGCCCCTTGAGAGACGCTCGCTGCTCCTCTCCCAGATTGTAGCTGACCGCAAACAGTGCACCAGACAGGAGGCCGGCTTGTTTTGTTTTTATGACCGAAATTGCGGAAAACAACTCGTGAAGTTTGACCCGCTAGAAGAGCGAGGTGCGCGAGAACGCTGGGAGCCTTTTTCCAGCTGAATCTCGGCTCTTTTTTCCCTCCGTCGTCGGACTAAACTCGCCCCCACTTCCTCGCCGCCTCGGCCGTATCTAGACCCACAGCGTGTAGCTCAGACCACGCTTCAATATTGAGCATAATTTAAAAATGTCTGTGTGAAGCTTGCTGCAACAAACTGCTGTAAGAGTATAACCAGGAAGCGCGGTAGGAGGGCAAAATAAGTTTAGCGGCACCGCAGGGAGGGAGGAGAGTTACGCCCAGGAGCAAATGGATAAAAATAGACCGGAGGGAAAAAAAAAAACATTAATCGATTATCTTGCGGACGTGTCGATGCATCGGATCGTCGGCTTTTGGATCGATGCATCGATACAAAACGATTATTATTTACACCCCTAATATGTATATATAAATATTTTACTATACCCTTCTAAATGATTACCCCGTGTAACTCCCTTCCTAGAGGTATATTTATAAAGGCTTTGTGTATATAGAAAAGAAACTAAGTTTGCAAAATGACTTAACCTGAGATTAGATTTAAAGAGTCTTTTGCAAGGAGCATTTTTAAGTATTTTTACACCCCTCTAACAGAGTTTCCTCAAAGAAAGCCTTTTATTTAGTTCTATTAAACTTCCCATCAACTCTGACCAGCTTCCTTTAACCTACAGAAGGAAAGCATGTCCATAACATGGTGCAACCGCCACTAATGATGTCTAATATTCATCAGAGGCCTTCACAGGACAGATGGATCTCAGATTAATTTAAGTTACAGTTAAATTTATGTATTAATAAGCAAGTTTCGAAAGCATTTGGTGTAACTGGATTTTTAGGGCTACAAATGCTCACTTTTTAGATGTGAAACAGTTTGAAAACTAGGTATCATTTTCTTACAGTTCCTGATTGTGTGAAACATATTTTGCTTTCTAAATATAATACAAAATATATATTTTTGTTTGTGATGTGGAATACCAGTAGTTAAAATGGTACAACTACTTCTGCAATACAGTGTTGCAACTACAATCAGATTTATAGTTTGCTTTGGTATTTTGTGCCTTTGAGTAGGATGTTCAGTAAAGGTTACAGTGTTTGTTTACTTGAAGTGTCAGGTTCAAGACTAAGAATGCATAATTTTCAACAATGAAGAGCATGAGGAGTTACTTTTGAAAAAAACAATCTTTGTTCGGGTAACGAGCTACAGCCAGAATCATCTGTTTCTGTTGGCATTCAGAGGCAGGGCAGCAGAGAAAAATAACATATTTCTGATAATTACCAAACACCCACAGAAAAACCTTCGACATGTTGTTGTCCTGTTCAAACAGTGAATTTAATTAACACGTTTAGGCTTGTTATTGTGTTGTATTCTCCTTAACAATTCAACAATAACTAAAGAATGTAATACTGATTTTTAGTTAGAATATTATTTTATTCGTAGGATGTGAATATTAGCTTTAATTAAAATAAGAACAAAATAAAGATACAATGAGTATCTTTTCGTTTGCCTATGCTAATTTTATCAATCGGGATTGTTAATCTTTACCCTCATTTTTACTTTATCTAGTTGTTCTTACATTTTTCAATTTCTAAAACACTGCATACTAAAATACACAAATTTTCTTGGTGTGTGGATATGATGGAGTCCGAAGTTTGTTCTGTTTCTGCATGTAAAATTCTTACAACACAGACGTTCATTGTTTTTGTGGGCAGTCATTGTCTTGCATCCTGACTAGCACTTATTTATGCAGTTCCGTTTTTGATCAAATTGGCACACCTCAAACAGCCTCTAAACATCAACATCTTTAAAGGAAAAGTCCGACCATTCAAACTTCTGGAAGTAGTTGATATATGAAATTATTATATACTTTTCAACAAATGAAAAGTGTTTTAATTAAGAGTAAATTTTCAATGTGATTTACTGGAGACATCCATGTTTGTCAAAGTACACTATTGCCACCTACCGGTTTGTGATGTCATAGTGAGGTATCGGATGTTGGTCAAGTCCCAGTGCTGTATCTGGTGTTTGTCACTACTCAATATTATCCAAGTCATCTTGAAAACATTCTTCTTCAAAATGTTGTTTACATATTACATGTTTTTTCTCTGGCCAGCAGTTTGATTGCAAATCTTCCCTCTTCAAGTTGGTAATCCAACAACGAACCCGTGGAGGTCCATGAATCGGGAAGGTGAAATAACTTTTACCTGATGTATTACAACATTCAACTCCATGCACGTCCGCATTGTCACTTTAACTATAGCTCTCGAGAATTTCAATGGTGAGGTCCTCTCGAAATCTTAAATAATTGTTGTTGATTGCAGATGTGTCTAGCAGTTCCCATTGATTTTGCTTGTAAAGCGGGCAGAATGGCACTAGGCTTATCGCACCATGTCACCACGTCACTGCCGGAAGATGTCAGGAGTGAGGTGTTACTGTATTTGGTCAAAAATGGCCGCTCCCAGACTCATTACTTTCATTTTTTTACTGATTAACCCTAAACTTATTAAATCACTACGATGGTATTACTTTTAGGTATAAATAATGATCCATTGATTATTCCTTATTTACCAGACTTTTCCTTTAAGATTCAGCATTTAAAAACAAGCCTTGAATGTAGAATGTAACAAGGAGGAGCAACAATGTATTAAGAATCTTAAAATCCCTTTGAAAACCTTCTCTTTCTTTCTTACTAGTGTACAGTATTACTCTTCAAATGTACATGTAAAAAGCAACCATTAGCTTTTAAATAAATATAATTCATCAAAATTGGCATGTAAATTTTCACCACATTTAAAGATAATTTACTACTTCATTCTTAAGTACCAATTTGAAAAACCCTCTTTCCACTGAATTATACCTGCAGATTACACTATAGAAAAAATCATTTAAATTCAACTCTCCTGTAGTGACTATAAAGTACAGTACCTGAATCTCAAGTTATACTTTCATTTCCATATTGTTTGCCTTTTAGTCAAACATCCTAAACTGTTATCAGATAATCTAATTAAGTGCTCAAAAATGTTATAAACCTTAAATTACTCAGTACTTCAGGATTCATCTACCAAGCCAGACATCTTTAAACCAACTTGGTTTAATTTCTCTACAAGCAGGAGGTATTGAATGATTTCAAGTTTTGTATGATGATATTTCAATCATGAGGACATTTTTTTTCTCATTCTAGATTTACTTCGCTAATTTGTTTTAAGCAATGTACTTGACTTTTCTCATAAAGACTAATTGAAGATAATTACAAATAAATCATGATCTGAGAGCCAAAACTGAAAAAATATATAACATTTTCAACTGCTTAGTAAAGACTAGCTAATGACAAAGATATATGATGTTAGATGTGCTCATCTCCAATAGTAAACTGTTTTGTTGAATGGTTGTTCGTTTGACACAATGCTTTGAATTGCAGTTATGCTTTCCTACCTCGGACCACGATAGTAGTGGACTTCTTTGCTGGGTTTCCAACATTGTTACTGGCCACACAGCTGTAAACCCCAGCTTCATCTGAGGTGATGGCGGGCAGCGTGAGTGTGCCTCCTTTCACTACGCTCCTCTGAGGCAGGCTGTCATTACTGCTGACCCAGGTGAGGGTTGGAGGTGGCTCCCCTCCTGTGGTGATGCAGACCAGGGACACAGTCTGACCAGGATTAACCACAATTGGATCCTCCACTAGTAGTTTGATAGATGGAGATGCTGTGGAAACAGAATATCCTTGTGTCTAATTTATTGGTATTAACACATTTGTTTAAACATATTCTAGTAGTACATTTTATTAGTATAAAACTGATCTAATAAATCTTATTATGACAGGAAACATATAATGTTCGGTTTTAACCAGTAAGACATTTTCTGATCAGATGTAAGAAGCTTTTCTTTTAAAGATGTTAGTATGACATGCTGGGGATTTTCATTCAGACTGTAGAAGAGTAAAAAAAAAAGAGCAAGACTTTTTCTACATAACAAAAAATATTTTACAGCAAAATTACTTAATTTGTTTGATCCTCTTAAACATTCAGCGTTTGTCATAAGATCTAGAAGCTCAGGGTTTTAAACTGAGAGATCAGATATAGCTCTACATTTTCTTAATACACACATCCAGACCGCTCCTTTGACAATGCTAACTGTGATATAAGATGCTGAAATTAATTCAAATTGGAAAACAAACAAGCTCAGTGCATTCCTACTGATTAATTGTTCATTTAATTTAATATTTTTATTCATTCCTGACATGTCAAAACCTGTAATATCAAAAAAGGTGTAAATACATATTTATGCACATGCACACATATACCTACACAGAGATAACAATAAACATAATACACTTAACAAATGTGCCCTATTAAAATATCTGAAAGAGGTTGGAAGAAGAAGATCATATTTTATCCTACCTCCACTCCAGAATTATATATTTTTACCAATATCCAGATTTCAGAATATTATAAATTAATGTGAAGAAAAAAGTCTATGTTCATAAATAAAAGTGACAAGTAAGAAATTAAACTATTATATTCCAAATAAAATCACATCCTAAAATACATCTACACAAGTGCAGTTACCAAAAGTCATTCCTAAATACACAATAACCAACAGACTGAATTTACAGTCATACACACAATCTTCAGTGTTTTAGTGACACCCACCTGCTTACCCATAGGTCCCCATCTCGCAGTTATAATTAATTATCAATCTTCATTTCTTGGCTAAGTTTGTTCTGAACCTTCCCCCCATTAATTGAAATGCACATTCTTTTCAAGGTTGTCCAAACACTCCTATTACTGAATTGAAAGTGTCTTCTTTATTTGCAGCTCCCTCGTCCATAAGTGGAGAATTTTTGGATGCTATCAGGTAGATCTTTGTTCCTGGCTGTGTACATTAACTTTGTGGTTTCAAATTCTACCAGATATGGCAGTTTTATAAGGCAGAATGTCAAAATAACTCACATTTGTGATCATGGAAAGTTGCCTTATGAATCAAACTTATGGCTATTTTCTTAATTTTGCACAAGGACTGGAGTGAAAATGTTTAGATGTTGCCCCCAGACTTTCACACAGTAATTCAAATAAGGCAGAATCAGTGAGCAATATAGTATAATTAATGCTTTGATGGTTAAGATATATTTTGCTTAATTAAGGAATGCAATAATTCTACATAATTTAGTTTGGTCAAGTTGAATGTGCTGTTGAATGTGCCAGAAACTTAATTTCTTTAATTCTTTCCACATTTTCACCCATTATTGCAACTTTTAAATCAATATTCCCCTTTATATTCCTAAACATTTTAAACTTGGCTTTGTCCCAGTTTAATGAGCCGTCATTTCAAACAACCTCCTCAATTATTTCACAGTATGGTGATTCACATTTTGTTATTTTGTTGTTCATTCCTTAAACAACTTTTAATCCAATTTAAGAGTATTCTCTTATTCCCATATTGCTACAGCTTATTAAATAATATGTCATGATTTGGTGTGTCAAATACTTGTTTTAAGGTCAATTAAAACCCCAATTGCAAATGTCTTTTTGTCAGTGGTACTATTGATTTCTTCTATTAATCTAGGAAGTTCAGCTGTGTACGGGCGAAAGGCAGAGTACACCTTGGACAGGTCAGCAGTCCATCGCAGGGCAACACAGAGACAAACATGACAAACAACCATTCACGCACACACTCATACCTAGAATTTAGAGAAGCCTATTAACTTAACGGTCATGTTTTTGGACTGTGGGAGGAAGCCAGAGTACCCGGAACATGCAAACTCCATACAGAAAGACTGCAAGCCGGGAAACGAACCCGCTACCGTTTTGCTGCAAGGCAACAGTGCAACCCACTGCCGGACTATAGATTTAACAATTGTTAAATCTATAAGTAATTCCATTTCAACTGGCGCCTGTCCTCACTTCTGTATAGTTGGATGATTTTAGTGGTTTTCATTTCTTTATGAAATTTGGAAAGACAGAAAACAAATTTATGTCATAGGTATAACAGTTGTCATCTAAATCTGTTGAAATCTTATTTCTACATTTACCATTCCTTTTTTGTTTTTTTCAATCTCTCCCACTGCTTTGAGGAACTTTGAGTTTGGATTTCTACTTATCAAGGCCTCGTTGCGTTACTCAGCTGTTTCAGGTCCCCTAATTCTTTCAGTAAATTTAGGTTCAATACTTACAAAATTGTTGAAGTTGTTAACTACATCATTCATATGTTTATTTTTCATCATTAAAAGGAAAGTACTGTGGATTATTTGATTGTGTGAAACTTTTACTAATGACCTTGTTAAATTTAATACAAAAACTTTTAATATTATTCTTATTCCTACACTATATTGCCAAAAGTATTTGCTCACCTGCCTTGACTCACATATGAGCTTAAGTGACATCCCGTTCCTAATCCATAGGGTTCAATATGATGTCGGTCCACCCTTTGCAGCTAGAACAGCTTCAACTCTTCTGGGAAGGCTGTCCACAAGGTTTAGGAGTGTGTTTATGGGAATTTTTGACCATTCTTCCAGAAGCGCATTTGTGAGGTCGCACACTGATGTTGGACGAGAAGGCCTGGCTCTCAGTCTCCGCTCTAATTCATCCCAAAGGTGTTCTATCGGGTTGAGGTCAGGACTCTGTGCAGGCCAGTCAAGTTCATCCACACCAGACTCTGTCATCCATGTCTTTATGGACCTTGCTTTGTGCACTGGTGCACAGTCATGTTGGAAGAGGAAGGGGCCAGCTCCAAACTGTTCCCACAAAGTTGGGAGCATGGAATTGTCCAAAATGTCTTGGTATGCTGAAGCATTCAGAGTTCCTTTCACTGGAACTAAGGGGCCAAGCCCAGCTCCTGAAAAACAACCCCACACCATAATCCCCCCTCCACCAAACTTTACACTTGGCACAATGCAGTCAGACAAGTACCGTTCTCCTGGCAACCGCCAAACCCAGACCCGTCCATCAGATTGCCAGATGGAGAAGCGCGATTCGTCACTCCAGAGAACGCGTCTCCACTGCTCTAGAGTCCAGTGGCGGCGTGCTTTACACCACCGCATCCGACGCTTTGCATTGCACTTGGTGATGTATGGCTTGGATGCAGCTGCTCGACCATGGAAACCCATTCCATGAAGCTCTCTGCGCACTGTTCTTGAGCTAATCTGAAGGCCACATGAAGTTTGGAGGTCTGTAGTGATTGACTCTGCAGAAAGTTGGCGACCTCTTCGCACTATGCGCGTCAGCATCCGCTGACCCCGCTCCGTCAGTTTACGTGGCCTACCACTTCGTGGCTGAGTTGCTGTCGTTCCCAAACACTTCCATTTTCTTATAATACAGCTGACAGTTGACTGTGGAATATTTAGGAGCGAGGAAATTTCACGACTGGATTTGTTGCACAGGTGGCATCCTATCACAGTTCCACGCTGGAATTCACTGAGCTCCTGAGAGCGACCCATTCTTTCACAAATGTTTGTAAAAACAGTCTGCATGCCTAGGTGCTTGAATTTATACACCTGTGGCCATGGAAGTGATTGGAACACCTGATTCCAATAATTTGGATGGGTGAGCAAATACTTTTGGCAATATAGTGTATCTAGTACGGATGTCTCCATACAGTTTGTTTCATTTCTGATATGATACAGATATTGCAGGTTTGAGAAATGCCCGATACTGATATTGATACAATATGAGCGCTGTTGGGAGCTGGAGAAAATCCCATCTTTCTCCAGCAGAGTTCACCGTGGATCCTCTGAGGGAGCCTCCTGCACAGCTGCAGCTCATCTAGATCATCAGAGGATCCACTATATAAGCTGTCTTCAGACCTTGCCTCAACGCCGCAGTGTTGTTCCAGTTGGTCAGCGCTAAAGCCTAGATCTTTGTTGAAACTCCATGACTTCGAATCCAGGTTGGATTCTAACCACTGTCTCTGTGTTTCCAGGAAACCCTTGCCTCCTCTGTGAAAGCTCTGGAAGAGCTAACCTGCCGAGCCGACCCTCAGAGCCAAACCCTGAAGATTCTCAGAGAACCTCCAAGCAGCTCAGGACTAGAGCTGGGAAACCTAAGCCAAGGTCTGTTCAAGCTAGACGTGAGACGCTGAAGCAGCAAACGGACTCTGCTGATAAACTCTTCTCCAGAACCAACAGTGACTCTCCCAAGGAGAACCTCAAGAACCCTCAAGGTACAATCAGTGCACCTTTTGGAAATCAAACCCAGTCTTCAATCAATAACTGTGCTGTCTCTCACGCAGACTCCGGTGAAACCAGAATCCAGGCCCGAACCAGGAATCAGTACATTCTGTGTGTTGTGCAAAATAAACTGTTAAAACTTTTCATCCTTGTGTCCGTCAGTGGTGTTCTGCATAACTGGGTCTCCATTAGAGAACCAATCATGACAAGCGCAAATCATACACACTTTTATTATTTATTTTGTACTGTAGAATGTTAGAAAAGGCTTGATCACGTGGTACTATCAAGACAGAGAAATATAGTCAATCACAAAACAAACAACTGACCCATGTCATTTTAACCGATTATTTACAGAAACTTTAAACAGAAGCAGGGTGTTTCTCTCAGTATGAAAATACTGCAGATTTTATCTTCTGGCCAACACAATACATTATAATTTTTTGATTAATATTAGACTGATATCCGATATTAATATCCGATTGGGACATCCCTACTTTCTCGTTATTTGCTGTAGTGGAAATGTTTAGCTTGATTCACTTAACTTACACATATTAAACTATAAAACACACACAAAGAGTTGATGTGTAACAGAGATTAACACAGACTAAAACAGAATTGACCTAAAAAACACCAAATATAGAAATTTAACAACTTAAAAAGCTAAAAACTAATGAGAAGACAGAAAAATAAGAGTAAACTGAAAGTATAATTAATTTTATGCTGTACCTGTCTTATTGGTGAGTCCAAAGATAACGCTGCGGTCAGGAATCCCACACACATTTCTGACAGAGGCGATGCAGCTGTAGTTGGCATAATCTTGAGGACGCAGGTTCTTCAACTTCAGGATTTTTGTTTCCCCCTGCAGCTCAGACCAAACCAACACTGGTATGCAAATATGTGCAAAAGCATCATCCTAATTAAAAACAGGAATGCTACAAAAGTAGATCTCAGGAGTTATATAGAAAAGGCCTAGCAGCTCCAGAGAGAGGTCAAAGATATTAATATGTATACAGCCTTGACAAAGACTAAAGGGAAATGAGAAGAGAGCATAATTCAAACAAATTACTACTGCATTCAAATAAGAATGATACTGATTCTTTTTTACATGAAAAACATTAAAAAAATTGTCAGCATGCCTGCTACCAATAAGGGGATTACTCCACAGAAAAGACTCCAGCTGTATTTTCACAGCTGAGCTACAGAAATATGGATGGGCTCAGTAGGGGAGCGCTCCACAGAAATGGCTATCTCATTGAGAATATGTGTTTGATTCCAACTTGGCTTGTCAGCCACAAGCCTCGCCCAAAAGGTTATGATGAGGATGTAAACCTTTGATCTGACTGACTCCTTTGTGTGGATGTGGGGATGATGAGAGGAAAGGGAGGCAGATTAAAACATGAGTCAGACAGTTGCTGCAGCAGCCCAGAAAACATGGCAATCACGGATGCCTTTTAGACCTTTTCAGATCCAAAGCAGCCAAAGGATGACTTAATTGTATTACATTAGTCAAGGGCCTGATATTCTACACTCTTTCTCTTTTTGTCACAGCTTCTACTTTGAAGCAGATGACAGGGCATGAGGTTGATAGGAATGTAGAAACAGTTTAGGAGAAGATGGAAGGAAGAGAGAAGAAGTGGAAGGGAAACATATTTTCTTAAGAAACAAAATGAGAGCCAAAAAAAGGATAGGAAAAAAAAACATAATTGTAATTGGGACTACCAAAATAATAGGAAGAATAAGCACTTGTAATGCCAAATGGCTTCAGCACCACAGATTACTTGCAGACAGTAAATTCTGAGAAAGTATGGGAGTAATTTAAAATAGTTCTGTGGACATCTGTATGGCCTGTTTTATTTGGTTGCTTTAGTTCAATATCCTAAAACAAATGTCACTGAAAGAAGAAACTATGTAATCAATAACATATTTTTTAGCTTAAAAGTGATTTTTTTTAAAGCCATGAACAAACACGTAGAACTTGGTTTAGACTGAAAAAATCTATTTGTCTCATTTTAGAAAAGAAAACATGACCTTGGCCAAGAGGCTGAGTTGTGAATTCTCTTTTTAAAAGAACTAGGAATAGTTGTCTCAACGTGGGTATTTTTATTTGTGTTAGGAAGCCACACATCCCCACACACTAGACTTTCTTTTTACATATTTTGTTAAAAGGCCAAACAAGGACTTCAAACCAAAAAAAAGTTATTTTCTGTTTTGTTTTATTCTTGGATCGGGCTTTAAAGGGTTAAATTGCTTCTCTGACATCATCATTGGACATGCTTGGCGAAATATGATTAAACCATGTTTATCTAAATTTTTAATTGTTTCTTTCTTTAAATTACGCACGATATACCATAGTGTTAGTTAGCACGAAAGTGAAAAATAAAACTCAAAAACACTAGATGTATGTTTAAATCCAAAGCCGAAAAAGGTAGTTCCCTGAAGTAACGTAGGATCCCATTTTCAGAGCAGATCGGGAAGAGACCAGCGATAAAATTTAAGGCATTTATTTTCTCAGGAAATGCATTATTAACCCTTAACACATTATATTTTAGTACGTTTACTATTTTTTGAGAGGGAATGTAGGTCTTTTTAACAAAATAAAATCGAGAGCGATCTGGACCTGGACCCGCATGCGCAGCACGGATCGTGCTTCCGGGACGGATGGGTTAGTGACACTTTCAGCCCTCCTGTCACTTCCTGTTGCAAGGCTCTCATCTGGATTGGATATTGGCCTGATTGTCCCACCAATCAAAGGAGAGCTGCTCCTACTGTATTTAAACCAGCACCCTCATGTCGACAGGGCTGCTGTCTATGTTTGAGCAGATCGCCTCTTGCTGGTTTGTTGATTAATCGAAGCTTGGAACAACTTTTGTATAGCTGTGACTCTTTATAAACATTTTGATATCAGTTGTGTTACTTAGTTCTGTCCTGAAGAGGCTAGTGTTTTGTTCTGATCTCCTCCCTATGTGTTCTGCAGCACCAGAACTAAGTTTTGTTGCCTTGGGTAATTGTAGTTTTATTTTGAGTTTTAAGAACCTTTGGTTATATTCCTTAAGCTTTGTTGTCTTGTTTTATATTTCTGGACTCATTTGGTTACCTTTTTCCCCTTGTGATCTAAGGTAAACTGGGTTTGATTCCTTCCCCTTTCTCCTAGCTGAGCTTTGTTATGGCATCGTACTTTTAATGATTACCAAAATTCCAACAGTATGTCCAGAAATATTGAAGAAATCCAAAGAATATAGTATCAGCTTAGGTAAACATGACTTATGTTTACCTAAGCTGTGAAATGGCAGTGAAAAGTAAATGGTTTATTTGATAAATTCACAGATCAGAATAGAGTAGTTTATTAAAGAAACTACAATAGTTCTTTGTACTGAACTTAAAATGTCCCAACTGCATGTATCTAACATCTTTATGAGTATAATTAATCTGCAAGACTGGAGATACTGTAAGCAAAAGGAAGAATGATTATCAGTAGGAGTCAGATGAGGAAACTCTACAGGAGACCGTTCTGACCTCTTTTCTGAGTATCTATAACTACCTTTGGATAATAGTCTGGTTTAGATATTGCTAAAAAATATTAATAAAGGTGATTTATTTGGAGGTTAGTACATAACAAAATATTGTATTTAGAGCTAGTCTCTCAAAATCCTTATCTCTGGGTTTTAGGTTGTGCTCCAATTTTCAGACTCAATTAAGCTTTTAATAGGGGCAGTAGGAAATGCAGGGTGCTGATGGGATAAGTGTTAATTGGGGCCCAGTACTGCAGCTTCTTCATTCTGCTTCACCCTCTCCATTAGTTAACAGCCATCTTTCTCCATTTGGCCAAACATCAATTTCACTTCCTTTTCCTCTCTCTCTTTATTCCCAAAGCCTCTTTTCCACTCCTTTTTTATGGTGCAGATTCAAATTCCCACTGATGCCGACTTCCAAGTACGTACCAAATCACATTTAATTCAATGTATTGAAAAACTACAATACCTTCACAAGTGATGGAACAATCTCAATCAGCTCTTTGTTGACTGCAGAAAATCCTTTTTAGAGCAAAGCTTTTCAGTTTTCAGGCTGCATAGAAAATCCACTTGCTTGACAGAGAAAAACCGATAATGATAGAAACCCACTTCACAAATGGGCATGTAAACCGTGAAACTGGGTTAGAAGAATCTATTGTATTTTTGGAGGTTTAATTAAGACATGTTATACTGTCACTCTGTGAGTTTAGTCAGGCATGAGGTAAGCAAACAAAAATTAAAATCTAATTAATCATTTTTTTTAATAGTGTAATTTATCTGTAATAATAATTGTTTTGATTTAGTACTTATGAACTATGTATTTCCGGCTATTTATAGTTATGCTGCAAAGTGTATGTGCTGGGATAACACACTACTGTGCTTCTTTCTTACATCAAGATGTTCACACAACCTAGTTTACATTTTAGGCTCAACTTTATATCTAAAATAAGATCCTCAAAAAATATTTATTGAATAGGAGTAGGACTTGTCTATGAATAAAAAGCCATTGAAATTGCTTTACATTACTTATGCTATTGTTTGCTTATAGTTTCGCAATCTTTATGTTGGTAGTCACAATATTTTATTACATATCTGTGCATTGTGACTGAGGGGTCAATATGTACATGAAGACATAAAGTGTTATCAAAAAGAAAGACAAATTGTGATAAAAATTCAGCACTATTTTACCATTAGGTACTAAAGCTGTAATAAAATATTTTTCCAACAGTAATTCTGACATACGCCTTACTAAGAATTAAAGCTTTGCTTTGGGGCAGCAATCGTTCTCATTAGAAAGTGCTGTTCACACTGATAAAGCATCAAATCTCTCTGTCTGACAAGCATCTACAGTAACTAGTATAAGACTACTTGGTAATGAAGCCTTTTTTTCACTTTTCTTATTTTATTTTTTTATTTTTATCATTATCATTTAACTAAAGATACCAAATTTTCATACTACATATTTAATTTTTACCATCTTTGGACAAAAATCCAAATGAATGAGGTTTTTGTAGGCTAAACATGCATGATTTTAATTTTGTGAAACTATTAGAAAATGTTTCAATTACTGAGGTTACTTTCACTTTCTGGCATCCCAGTAGAATAAAGATATTCTTGTAAATAATCATTTCATTGGTGATTCAACTCTATTAATATATGTGTATTAGAGATCAAAAACATAATTTAAAGGTAAACTATTTTTAGCATGATATTGTGAGAAAGCATAAGCAGGAGTCTGACAACAGAAGCAAGCCTCACAGTGAACCCTTGAAAAGCCTTTTGGAAGTTAGTGGTGAATGCCCATACTATGACTTACACATCATACAAAGATGGGCTATGGGAGGAGAATAAGTATATTGAAAAACAAGGCATTACTTAATAAAATAACATATAAGCTAAGGATTCTGAGGTAAACTAAATGCTGTGTCCGAATTCAGTGGCTTCGTCCTCCAAATGCCAGATTAGTCATACTATAGCACGGCTCTGGGTTCAGAGGAAATAAGGAAATGGTGACCAACAGTATTGTAAGCACAGTTTAATATAATTCAGTATGTAAAAAGGTTTGTCTTAAATTAATAAAATTAGGTAATTTAAGTGGTTAGCAAATCAGATATGTCACTGGTAATGTTTGGTTAATCAAAATCTTTTATATGTCGTTATGCAAAAGGGTTTGGCTGACATCTACAACATTTATTTGTCTGAAGATGTTTACCTCTCAGCCTGAGATATCTGAAATATCTGCCATGACAATACTGCTGCTGCAGCTCCTCAAAAATGAAATGATAATGCAAAAGAACTGAGAAGTTTGGGATTCATTCTTTGCCTGCTTTGTGGGTCAAAAGTCACGGTTGCTAGGTGACAGAGCATACGCTGAGTGAGGGTTTGTGACAGCCAGGCCGTTTCTCAATATGTGTACTTGTGCGTTCTCATGTGCTCATTAAACTTCATCAGCCTCAGTCCTAATACTGGTCCAATTCAGAAGAACAGCAGACCGAGAACAGAAAGTCCCCGGATGTTGTTCTCACCTCCTCCCTATTTACCCAGCATGCATCAGAGCAGACTTGTCCGATCTTGAGGTTGACAGCTGTCCAGCATGCAGTTCTGAAGCAGCAGCTCTCAATGGAGTGCTCCATTGAAAGTTAATAGCTCTCTTTTCTGTTGCTGTTGTTCAATAAAAGTAAGTTTTAAGATTATTTGAGGTGAGAATATTATACTTTAAAGCGTCACTATATGGTCCATTTACCAATTTAATGCGTAATTTAAAAAAAGATATTCGAAGTTGAGAGGACCGTGGCAACCAGCGGACCTCCAAGGGTAACCGCAGCCAGGGCTAACGGCTGCCCTTCTATAGCAGCCCTCTCTCGGCATAGCCGTGTGTGAAGTACCGCTGGCTCTGATGGTGATTTTTTTGTTTTATTTTGCAAAATGTTCATTTGATTTGTGTTCATATGACTGTGTTAATTATTATTCCCCCACTAAATGAAAAAAGTAATGATTTATTATTATCTAGAGACTATTAATAACAGGAGAAAAAATGCAGCTCTAGACGAGCCGGGCATGTGGTGACGTCACAAGTACGCTTCTGTTCCATTTGACCCATATTTATGCTGCATGCTCCCATTCTCACCAACTCCATACTTTCCTGTGTTCTTCTCAAGAACGAGGACACGCGTCCGTACTTGCGTTCTAGTCAATTGAGAAATGGCCCAAGAGAAGGCTGGAGCCATTCAAATTCATAGCCAAACTCTTCCTCATTTTCACAGCCTTCTAAGAACCCAGTCCAGGAAGACCAGGTCCTTTGAAGGAAGCAGCTGCCAGATGGGACATAGCTCATAACAACACCAAGGCACAGTTGAGGCTCTACTGTATCATAATGGTTGGTATTTTTAGGGCTGTAACTGTAGCGTGGACCTCAAAAAATGTGAAAGCACATAGATACTACTAATGGCCTGTAGTGGGCAATAATGATCTAATCTATTTCTAGTTTCTACTGTAGGTAAGAAAATAACAACTAATCATACCTCTCCTTCAAAACATTATAAAAATCTAAAATCTGAAGATTGATCTGTTGCTAAAAATGTGTTAAGGTTCAAGACATACATCCCCACCACCTTTCCTCTGTCTTACCTGTGTGAAAAAGGGCTCATAGATCTCCACGCCCTTGTCGGAGCCCTGAGTCAAGACCTCCCTCCCACGATGCCAGCTGTAGCGGACAGGCGGGTTGGAATTGGCCACGCAGCGCAGGAATACTGTCCTTTCATAATAGAACTGCTCCTTAGCTTCTCCAATACTTTGATGCACAGTAATCACTGGGTTATCGAGGTCTGTTAAAGGATCAGACAAATAGCAGAGAAATCATTTAATAGAGACTTATCTGTTAGTTGTAGAATTTATTTTTTATCAACCAATGACACAAAATGTGTGCAGAAATAAGGAGAAGAAAGGTTTTGCTTCCATGGTCAAGATGTTTAAGAAGCCTTTAACTAATGTCGTGCCATAAATCAGCATAATCCTGCACATCCTAGGAAACAGTCCACCTCTTGATGAAAAGACACCTTTTACTTTTGCAGAAATTTATTTTGTATGTGGTGAAATATCTCCATGTTAATTTGGGGAGATGTTTGAGAACATATTCCACCTAACCTAACAGAAGCTTTACAAATTGTAATTCAAATCTTCTGGTATTTCAAAGAGCCCAAGATGATACAGACCCAAAGAATTATAGATCCTCTTACATATTTCCCCGAAGGCATACTTCTCCACATATTTATTCTTTATTTTACCAGCTACAACCGGACTTTGTGTTGGTTATATTTATTTTCTTTTCCAACTGGGTCTGATGGTGGAAATAGCCAGATCAGCTACAATTTGTTTTCAGCATCAGCAAAAACAAATGCAATATCTTACAAGCAGATTTATTTGATTGTGATATAAGGTCTGGCAAAAAGGATCAGAACTTCTATTCCATTAGGAGAGATGGTGATCAGCGCGGGTGAATATAAAAAAAGAGGTGAGAGGCCCCACTACTTAAACTACTTAAGTCAATAGGATGCAGCCCAAGGGCACATTGACTTCTCTGTCAAATCGAGCTGCTGTGTGCTGCAAGTTGCAATCCACTGTGAGCATTAAACAAGACAAAGAATTACAAATACTGCAGATAAAATGATGTCTGATGTCCATTACTTCAAAGAGCCCTGTTTGGTTCGGCTCTAATTCAGAAACTGTGATTTGACACATCCATCCAATCCCCGATGGATTTGAAGGGAAGTTTTACCAGAACACAAGGCAGTTGGTTATTTGAGAAAGCGCTTGTGGTTGATTAAATAGATTCAAAGTTAATCATCTTACCCAGCTATCGCATTAAGCCTTGGCAAATGGTGTTCATCATAGCTGTGCTGTCTTTTAGCATGCTAATACTTCTTCTTTTAGATTATGTCCATTTGCATGCTCAAAGAACGGGGGGAGCGTGCTGCTTCCCTTTCATCTCTGTCCGAGATGCAATCAGTTTTTAAACACGAGCAAAAAGGCAATAAAGGAAGAGGATGAGAAAAGCTAATGCAAGTTATCCCTCATGCTAAAACTCTAACTGATAAAGCCTGACCTTTTGCATATGAAGGGAAAAAGGATTGAGTGCATTAATGAATGTGTTAGTGTTTCAGCTACAGAGCAACAAGGTGGATGATTGGACTTGTGGGTGAATATGCATGTGGGAGAGCTTACAGTAAATGAATACACACATCTTTAATCATTAGGGGCCTCCAGAGGAAAAACTGTACACACCTTGGGTGTTATTAATAGATTAATTCATCGCTTTTAATTCAGAGCCTTTGCCCCATCCTTGTATTTGCCAGAGATCAGGTACTAATCAAGGTGCCTGTGGGCCATGCTAGCCGGGATCCAGGCTTGGCGCTACAGCCAGGAGAATGCTGATTCTTCAGTTTCATTAAAGGCGTGTTCTGCCCTACACCCCTTTAATCAAAATCTAGCTGCGGTCAATACTTCATCCAGGATCTATTACAGTGTCTAAGGTAGGAGCAATTACCTTTAGCGGGGGGAGGGGGGATAAGGAGTGAGAGCGGGGAAGGGGGTAACAACACTGTGGAGCAGACAGCAATTGCAGGCCTATTTCAGATGAGCAGATCGCACTAAGTAAAAACACTGATTCATTAATGCAAGGCTGGGAAGAGCATGAATCCTACACCTCATCACAAACTCCACCCGCCTCCTGCCCCATCTGTTTCCAGCATCAAACAGTCAATTTACCAACTGTGGCAGATATGGAGTGATTCATTGACAGCCCTATCTACCTTGGGACTCAAGTGTCTTTGAACGCTGGTCCTGATACAAGGCTGCGGTGACAAGAGTGAAAACATGTCCCCTGTTAGAATCTTAGGTAAGGAGCAGTTTGAGCTATTAATAGGGCCAAAATGATATGCAGGCAGGAAGTGGATGCTAGAAGCGTGGAGATAAATATGGAAATATGGAAATGTTCGAGCTGGATTAAAATTTGATGAATTTCAAACAAAATTCCACCTCCTGTAAGGAGGTTTTCCTGTATGTGTGTCACTCTTGTGCAATTAGCTTCTTAAGTCACGCATGAATGATTGTGAGGCTTAAATCCCTGAGCCCAGAGGAAAACTGTGTTGTACAGGCTGCTTCTGCCAGAGTTGTTAGGGTTTGTAATTGCAGGTTTATGGCTTCACAGGATGGTAAATCTTTCCATGTACAGCTAAACGCTCCAGTGCACTTACCGTAGCATCACTCCAGCTCACCTCTACTAACCATGACAAGCCTCAAATCTCTAAATTTCTCTGATACAAAAATATGGGGGAGATGAGTAGCATGACACACAGACATTGAAACGCTCTACACGGTGCAGTTGGTAGTCTCAAAAGGCAAGAACATCAAGAAAGCTGGAGAAATCAGTTTATCACAGATCTTTCAAGAAACTCTGAAAATAACCATACCCCCATCTGATATGCAACAATACTCTAGAAGTGTAGTTAAAGATTTGTTGGACAAACAGATGCAGGCGATTGGTTGGAATGAAAGATTAAACAAAAGACAATGAATTATTACATTAAACTAAAGCTTAATTCTTTTAAAAAGAAAAAGAAAAAAAAAAGAAAAAACAGCACCTGTCTTGTATTACTCCACTCCACCTACCTACACATCCAGAGACCTGTGAGGCTCTCCCTAGGCTAAAACACCAAAGCGAGTTTGTCTATATTTTCTTGACTTTGATGTCTTTTACCCTCTGTACCTGAAGTGATGAAGTCACCGTGGAAAAGATATCTATCAAGCTGTCAGCCGTGAGCGACAGAAGAATGCCTCTAATTTCACCTAATGACTGTCCCAGGGGTCGCTGCTGACCTGAATGACATTTGTGTCTTTCATGAGCAGAAATCCTGCTATTATGTCCCTGACGAGCAATTTGCTTTTATTTCTGCCAAGTGAAAAGGGTGGTAAAGCAGGTGATGATAAAAAAAAGAAAATAAAAATGTAAGGACATTTACAGATAAGCCCAAAGTTAGTCTTAACTTTGGTAGGCTTGTTTATTCTGACTACAAGTGAGATTATTTTATTTCAAGTCTAAAACCTACCTTAGCCCTAATCTACTAATTTTGGGGCCTTTTTTTTCATTTGGTCCCAAAATCTGCTTTATATCTTTTATAGATTAATTAGTAAATAGAACTAATGATCACAAATACCTCTACCAATTGCAGCACACACATTACAGCCAGCAATAAATCCACATATTATTATTTCACAGAGAACTGTGAGAAAAGAATGTAAAATAAAAGGAAAACAATACAAAATACCCTACATAATGTTTCTGACATACATTTATTTTTTGCATATCAGCAATGAAATAGATTACGTGGGCCTCCTGAGGTCAGAGTAAGTACTGTAAGTGTCTCTTACAGGGATATTTTATGATTAGCCAATAAATTCATTTCAACCTAGAGAGTCGCGGGGAGATTGTTTTATTGACAATATGAATGAATTGCCTTTGCAAAGATCAGAGAAGAAGTTGGTGCTGAAAGTAGTTGACCTGTGTGAAAAGACATATCTAGATTTAAGACATCTGTACCAACAGGGCCTGACACTGGCTGAGGAATGGAGGCTGGAGAATGAAGTAAAGCCTATTCGAGGCAGTGGAAGGAAAATGGTGAATGTGGTGAATGGGCAGGGAGGGTTGGGGTTTGGCTGGAAGGTGATTACTATACCTTACATTGGAGGATGAATTATCACAAGATTTGTGAATTAAAAAAACTCCCAAAAATACATTTAGCTAGAAGGCAATAGATGCATTATCCTCAAATACAGATTTGTTTCAAATCGATGAAATGCAGTGAAGTGTATGACATCATCCAGAAGCTGCATGCTGAAGCTAATCAAATATAGATGAGCAGGTGGATATACCTTTAAACTTTGCTATTCAGTCTGTTAAAGCTGAAATAACGTATATTTCTCTTTTGAAAAACAAGCAAAAGGGTGAGATTAATCACTCTGGCGATTTGCAAGAGTTTGATTAATCAGTTTACTTTGCTGGTTGAGAAATAAATCAATAAGCTGTAGAGGGATCCTATTATAATCATGCCTCCTTTAATCGCTCTCATGGATGACCAAGTGGCTGAAAGTGAAAAACTGGACATTACTGGGTATTCTTTTTAATAATAAATTATCCTGAGATAATAAAAGGAATATATAAAAATATGAAAAGTATCTGTCAGGTTGGGTGGAGATTTGAGAGGAGGACCTAATGTAGAGACTGAAGCTGAAGGTGGTTTCTTGCAGATTTAATTAAAAAGGTGAAAACAGAAGTGAAATCCAGGAATATCCAGGAAAACATAACAAAAGCTGAAATCCAGGAATACTCATAAGAACGGCAAAGAAATGATGACGAAGCTGCAAACAGTGACTAAAGAGGAGGTGCTTATATGGGAGACAGAAAAAAGACCAGGCTAATCAGCAGATTGGGAGCAGGTGTGAACAAAGGAATCCAGAAGGGAGCCAGGGGAAAGAAGACTGACAAAATAATGCAACAAAGGGGAAACCAGAAATACCATAACTAGAACACAAAATGGAAATTAAACTAATGAAAACTCAAATATAAAACTTTAACAGAACAAAAACCATGACAGTATCAAAAAAAAAAACATTATAAATAAAGCGCTCTACATTTTGTAAAAGACAGGAACAGAAACATGTAGTTCTTCTTGCTATTCTTGCAAAATTACGGTTTCCCCAAGGATATAATGAGCATTTTGGAGGGATACTGCAGTGAGTCATGCCTATGGTAAACACAGGTATGAACAGC